AATGAATTTCATCGCTGAATTCGAAATTGTTGAGGTCTATGAAGCGGGATAATCAACTACAGCAGAGGACTGAGCTGTTGGGCACTTACTAGGTCGTACGAAGATTGTACTGGGGGTGACTGAGCTCTCTGTCGTCCCCCCAGTCTTATATACCCCAGTGGTTGATTTATTGGTGGTGTTTGTTCACCACGACAAAATCGCTACCGGCGGCGATCCTGGTTTCAAACTACCCCGGCGCCCAGTGCCGATGAATGACACGGCGAGGCGAGGCCGTGGTTTTATCGCCACGAACACAAGGAACCCATTCGCGGAGGACCGCCGTCGGCGGCAGTTAGACTCGGGGAAAAATAATTGTCCGGGTCGGCGTTCCGTAGAGTCTCAAAAGAGCTGGAGCTCAATATTGAACCTTGGCCGGCAACAGCACGATGCATGATACGCCCTGTAGACGCGTCTCCATCGTTAAACTATACTTAGCGCTAGGATGCGGCAAGATTCTGATATCTATCCAGCAAAGTTTGAAACCACTACCCACCGTGCAGTAAAATTAAAGGAGCAAACAGACCATAGCGTTATTGGGGTTCTGAAGCAGTTGGAGGAACATCGTACCCACCGTGCAGGCAGAAAACTAAACGGAGCAAATAGACTAGAGCGCTGTTTCGGAATTCGGGCGGAATTTCAACCTGGAGCATTTCGTCGCCGAGGTCGCCGAGTCTGGGATGCGGGAAACCGTTTACTGTAAGGGGGAGTTTCTCGGCGCCATGATGGGAGGCTAGACTCTCCGGTATGGCAAATATAGTGTGCAAAAAGTTTTTGCAACTTCGCACCCCTCAGACAACTACAACTTGGGCTCTCGGTGTGGAAAAAGGTGCAACTACGACTTGGATCTGGATGCAACTCTAACTTCACAGGTTTCCGATAAGTCAACTTATCGGTGCAACATCTTTGAGTGGATGCAACTTGACCGAGATACAACTTTTCCGAGTTGCAACCTCATCAATTGGATTTTTTGAGAGTTGCAACTTTGAATTCTCGCAGACGCAACTTACGAGGGAGCCAGTTACAATCTGGCTTGCCCTGCCCGCAAGTTTGGACTGATTCAGGAGAATTTGTTCAGTAATCAATGCCGAGGTATTCTACATTGATGTTCCGTGCCCGGACTCGGAAGGTCCCCCGGTGATAGAGATATTTGGAAGTTCCATGGATGGAGTTCAGGAATATCCCGAGTACCGAGGCCTCGATAGCATAGCTCTGGATGTTCTCTGATACCTCGCTAGGGTGTGGTTGACCGTGCCAGCATCACGGGTTCCGTGATATTATCAGTGATATCCGCCTCAGGATCACTCCGAATCGCTGCGGCACGACCGCGGTCAGTTCAAAGACTTCTGTTTGTACTGCAGTGCTTTGTGAGACTGCCTCGACAACGACCGTGGACTGGTGTATCCTCTGTGGGGGAAGAAGGAATGAATACACGGCGACGTTCGAACAGGACCCTGGACAGACTCCGACGGAATGGGTTGGGAGGAAATATTCAAAGGGTTATGCAATTTGAACTCTCTGAAAGCACTGCGAGGTGAGCGCGGTATACGTAGACGATCCTATGTATGGCCAGTGATAACCTCCCGGAAAATCAGCTCTCACAGGTTGGCTGTCGTTAGTGGTCCATCACCCACTGTTACTGACTTATGAATTATGGGATCATGGCCCGTACGGCCTCTAAGCCTAAGACACAACATGCATAGGCCGCAATTCGAAGGTGCAACTCTTCCCAGTTTCTCAATGCACTATATGTAGCCTTGAAGAGTTGCAAGATTCAAAGTTGCATATTGCAAGAACCCAAGTTGACACACGGCCGAAGTTGTTGCAGTCAAGTTGAGGCACTCGAGAAGTTGCTTTCAGGCAAGTTGCAACCACTAGAAGTTGCACCTTTGGGAAGTTGTGCCCTTGAAGTTGTGGCAAGGTGGAAGTTGCTTTCTTTTTGGTTCAAAAAATCATACATGCGCAAAAAAAACTTTTTGCACAGTATATCGCCCATACTCCGGGAATCGAGTTGAGGCTTTGATTGAGGGATGTAACTTGAACTACGAAGGGTGGATGTGAGCGGTGGCGCGGCTGACCGTCGAAGGGACGGAGCTATACGCAGAGGCGGACAAATCTGGAGCAATTAGCAGCAACACAAGGAAAACGGAGGCACGCCCTGACTTACCAGGGAACGCCGGTGCTCGAAACGATGCATGGTTGGTCGTGGGCCCGATCCAACCGGCGAACTCTTCCGATTTCCGCGAGATGCGCCAAGTAGAACGAGTAACCATCGTACCGTGCGTGACCGGCCGCCGGTATCGTCGCACAAAGCTGTTCTGCTAACTCGGATTCATCCAGCGCTGGCAATGAGAGCCTCAACCGGACGCGCCATATTTCGTACCAGGGCCAAAGACGACTCAGGGCCAGAGACGACTGGTCGTGCATACGCAGATCTTGCTTTCATCCTCCGGGACGCCGCGAAAACGCCGCTACGAGGCACCGGAAACGCTGAGAGCACACGCCGCGATGGTGACCACCAGGGTGAGTCTCCTACGCGAGTAATGGTACTGAGGCTATTGGACGCAGTCCACCGTCAGGCTGCGGAACTGTCGAATCTCCGGCGTCACGAACGAACAAACTCACCAATAACCCCACCCCAACAAATTAAAAGCACGTTAAGTTATATTCTGCGCATAAACTCGGATCCAACAAACAAAATAAAAACGCAGTTAGATTGCCCCTCGCTGTCTGCGGTCACGCACGCGATTGTGGTCCTACAGAACGATTAGTGAAGCTCGGCGCGGAGACGAAAGGAACGCAACTCTATCACGACCATTCGCAGACAACGACAGACAAAAGTAAACGGAGGCTAAATCATGTCTTCCAATGGAGTCGAACCACCGCGAATTCCTGCCTGCTCACCAGCACACAACTTATTGATCAAGTCGCATGTGTCCGACGGAGTACTTGGTCCATCCCGAGTCGGCGTGGTACTACTAGAGCGACGAGTAAACCTCCGCGCGCAGATTCAGAGGAGAGGAAGCACATACACACTTACAAACCATTCGGCGTAAAAAGTAAGCGACGTCTCGCCGTGTATATGTCTTGCGATGGATTCGAACCATAGCCCTGGCACGATTGATTTGAACTAACCAGCCCTGGACCCTGGTCCCTGAGGGCTTACCAGACGGCGCGGGAGCTGATAGTATGGGGGATGAATGGGGATATGCGAGGTGTGCGCGAGGGGAGGGGGAACGAACGGTCGTCCATTCGTTTTTCTGGGGAGGCAGCTGTTTCTGATCCTAGTTCACGACGTGACGGGCCAAAACGACGCGACCACGGTGAAACGGTGTGTTATCATGCGGCGAAGGCTACTGTGGCAACGGGGCGTTGTGCCTGTGGCTGTGTCCATACACACTGAATGAGCGAACGACCGCGCGCGCGACGGTCAGAGGTGTGCGACGTGGGGTTATACCCACCGGTCTCGCAAGAAGGCGTACGGAGGTAGCTATATGTAAGCGGGAACGAACGGAACGCGACGCAGGGGTAGGGGATGTGTTACCCAGGTGGATGAATCTTCTACGTCGCGGACTCGACGGGCAGTAGCAGTTGCAGTGGCCGTAGGATAGGAAGTCGCGGGATGTTGCGGGCAATGGCTCAGAGCGCGAGTGATTCGACGTAGGCTTTGCAAGTGGGAGGGGGCGCGCTGCAAATTGTCGTCAGTCTCGGAATCGAATGAACGAGGCGGGACGGACCTTGCTCGCTGCTCCCGCATCCCAGCGCAGTCCGGCGGTAATGAAGGAGGAGGGAGGGGAGGAGGATGGATGGGGACCGTTATAACATGAGGATAGATACAGGATGGGCGATGAACGAACGACGGGGTAGATACGTATACAGGATAGATTAGGTGCAGTCAGTAGGCATAATTTTGTCTGTCCCTCTCGACGCGGTCGACGGAAGGAACCAGCGAATAGTGAATAGTGAATCACCGGAGTAGCGTCACTCACTCCATAACCCACCGCCTCACGGCCTCGCACCCGCCGACGTCGGGGTGGAGGAGGACGGCGGCGAGCCAGTGCTCGAGGGCGGTGCGGCGGCGGGCGAGGAAGGCGGTGCGGTAGCGCGCGAGGGGGGCTTTTGGGGGGAGGGCGGGGAGGAAGGCGTGTTTGGTGTGCTGGAGTCGTCGCAGTACTTAGTACTTTGGTGAAAGTGGAGGTGAGGGGAAAAGTGGAGGGAAAGGGCACGGGGGGAAGAGGGAAGGAGGGCGAGGGAGACGCACTGGCAACGTCCGCAGGAGCTGCAGCTCGAGCGCGACAAAGTCGCTGTAGCGCTTGTGCGCGTGGATCTGCGTCCCTTCCTTCGTCTTCATCACGCAGTCGTACACTGCACCTCCGTCAGTATATCTACCACGGCGACGACGAATGAAGCGGGAGGGCGTCAAGGGCACAACGTCGAATCAAGCGGGAAGGGGTGAAGGGCAAGAGGACGCAAGACGCACCGACATACGCCCCACCCAACGCGTCCCCAACGCTCGTCCACCCGCTGATCTGCACCTCCCTTGCAAACACGGCGCTCGCCCCGCCGGTGTTGTCCCCCAGCCAGATGTCGTTGCTGAACACACTCGGCGGCGCCACGGGCGACTGCGCCCGGGCCCGGTCCCGGTTCTGCGGGTGGTTAGGATCGGTGGGGGTTTCGTTCTGTGTGCCGCACGTAAGAATTGGATGAATATGGGGGGAGGAAGGGAGACGCACGAAAACGAGGTCATCATACAGCCTCGACTCTTCCTCGACGTCGATGCCCGCCGGGATTATCTCGAGCCGGCTCGTCGTGTGCGCGAATGGGTGCGCGGATGTGGATGCGGCGGAGGACATGGTGGTGGAGTGGAGACAAGAACGGAGCAAAATGTCAGCGGGATGTGTCAGCGATCCGGTGGCGATGCCCCTTCCTGTCGGTCCCACTCGAATGGGTGAGCGGCTCTTTCATCCGGTGTGGTGTATCGGTAACATACGCGCCTCTCATATAGGCGACTTCGATGATTTACGCGCGTGCGCGGGGTTCGATTCCCCGCACCGGAATGTGTTTTTGCTCCTTCGTTGCGTCAAGATGCAGCCAAGTCCCGCGCGCCGCGTCCGTCGTCCCGCAAAGCTTTTGAAACGTCCCACTGCGCTTCAATTGGAGCCCGCAGTGAACATCCCGCCTGCCTTCGCACACAAGAGCCGGTGTGAGCAAAGAAAACTACCAACCACTCCTCGCGAGGAGGATTCAGAAGTCGCACGGACACCGACATACCTCCGCAGAGGCCAAGTCAACCGAGAAGCTATTGAACTGCGTCCCGGAACGAAAGTACCGTAACAGCCTACTACCAGGCCAGGCAAAGCAAACCAGACTTCGTTAAGAATGGAGTTGGAGTTGCAGTTGGGGAACGGGGATGAATCAATCAATGTATGATGGTGGTTCAATATTAATCGCGATTTCGTGCATTGGTGTGTGTTCGAGTCACAGCACCGTAGCTGTTTGTGGTTAGTATCACCTCAACCCGCCAAGTCCCGCACACCGCACGCTGTAAATACTGATGTACTCGATCGAATTCTGGGCGGACGCGCCGGACTGGAACTTGGAATTGTAGACTGGGCCGGGTTAAAATCCTATTCGAATCTTCAGGTACAGACTGTCAAGCGAGTACTTGACTCGCCTGAGATCGGCAGGACATGAAGAAACGAAACTCAATGAACAGTAGGAGCGGCGGGGCGGAGCGAACGAAACGCACCGGCATGGGAGTGCCCGGCGTTCACAATCATTCGAGAATCAAGAGCCAACTGGCTTGAATGACGGCGAATGGTTTAGGTTTTCCGTCGGAAGTCGGTAGTGATCATAAGCAGCACACTGGCAGGGCCGGAGGAGTGTATCCCATCCTACGAAGTGCTAAGTGTCATGAACAGACAGGTAGAGTGTTATGGACAACTGGCCTTGTCAAGTTGAAACCCCGCGAGAGATTGGAAGGTTTTGGACCACGCTTGAACTGCCGGCGATGCAGACTGCAGCATTGGAGGACGGCTATACGTACCGAAGAAGACGAACTCGTGAGCCCGGGCAGGGGTTGAATATATGCACCAGTGACGAGTTCGGCTCGAAGCAAGGGAGATTTGGTAGTCGCAGTGATTGAGAAATCAATAACGCGAAGGATTTTGACTGACTGCCGACATTGCAACAAGTCAAGTCTGAAGTATTATAAAATTGTCGCAGCAGTTCGTGAGCGCTTGACATGTCTTCCTTCGGTGAGGCGCCTGTCAAAGTGCGAGTTGAGTCCAGGGGGGAACTGGAGTAGGTGGTCTGCGGTCTATGCGACGACGAACTTGGGCTTGAATGCCAGTCGTAGGGGGCCAGGGAGCGGATTCCGTTAAGTACATGTAGGGGGGTGTAGGGGTGTAGGCTGTCCTCCGCGTGGTCGTTATAAGTTAGCCGGCGACGGCGGCGGCTGAGGTTCTGCGGATTCAGAAAGTTCCGGGGAGTCACTGTTCTGCACCAGGAGATTCAATATTCAATATTCATAGTGGGGTACGTGCGATACTTGTCGCACTGTTAATTCGCCACATTCACGGCATTCAGTATCTCGAAGCCGTACGACACCGTTTTCCTTCGCACGGGAAGCAAGCAGGAATCTGTGAACGGGCGAGGTTTACATATGGGAAGGAACGCAGCAAGCACCGTGTCAGCAGCACCGCCGTCGGTGTACCAGGGTGGGGGTGGTCCCTACACTTGAACCTTCGTCAGCTTGGGTTTAGCTCGGACTCAAAGTCGGTTGTTACGCATCCAGCGTCGCGTCTCGGCGAATGTAATTTTCCTACGGAAAGACAGGTTAGTCAAAATCCAGGGGAGGAAACTCAGCACGCACCGGGAGGGGGAGGGAAGTTGAGACAGATCCGGCGGGGATTGGAACACGGAACCGGTATTAGTATCTAAGTGCCGCGTGTTTAGACGTCCTCCGTGTAGAGACGTGAGCGGCAAATCATGACAATAATCTCCTCGACCGCACTTCAGTCCATAGTGAGCGAGCGTCGAATTCATCGATTGATATTGGCACAACCTACCGATCTTTCAAAACATCCCGTCCGTGCGCTTCGGCGTGGTAGCCCATGCGGTTCTAAAAGCCGGCGCGTTGGCAAGGTATTTACACTTGAAGCACGGAGCAAAAGGATGGCTGGAGTCCAAGTCCAAGTGAACGCGAGGGATTTGAGCCAGGTGAGTGCAGCCATCTCCAGGAAGGACAGCGTGCAGCGGCAGGAGCGTTCAGCGTTCAGCGTGTCGGAGTGGATGGGTCCAGTGCGTCTCGAGAGCAAATGGGTTCTTATTCCTGGAGGAGACCTGGAGGAGAATAGACGCAGGAGGAAGCGTAGAGAAGGCCAAATAGAGGTCCGACAAGGGAGTAATGAACACCAGCAGTGGTTCAGAATACACAGAAGTCTCGAGTCGCCATTGGCCAGCACTGGGGTCTTGCTGGGGTCCGGGACTCCCAGTGAAGTTTGCGGCGGGTGCGCAGCCCAGCTCCCATTCATGTTCAATATAAGAGCACTCAGAGTCCTGGGTTCCATCCGGAAGGCGAGAAATGCGCGAAAAGCACCCTGTGGAAGAATCCGTTGTGGCGGTAGCGGTGAGAGCAGAGGATCAGGATGTCCGAGTCCCTGTTTGGCTGCGCCATCAGTACCGATCGGTACATACGCTTCTTCTCCTCGAGCTTCACTATCGATATCCCTTGGCCACTTACAGGACGAACGTCCGGCCGTTCATTGATTGTGGCTCAAGGAGGCACATTTGGAACAACTCATTCCACGTCGTCCCGCCAAATATATATGTTACCCCCGTGCCACTGTATCCAACGGGGAACTGTCTTCCCATCCGGTGTGGTGTATCGGTAACATACGCGCCTCTCATTAGCCGCAACATTTGCTTACGCGCGTGCGCGGGGTTCGATTCCCCGCACCGGAAGATGTTTTGTCGTCGCACTCGTCCCTTTTGCTCCAGTGCTGTTGTCGCACCTTCCTCCCCTCTATGGCAACACTTAGAGCAACCCCCGGATGCTTGCCAAGTTTTTCTCCTCTACCACGATCTTCGGAAGCCTCTCCATCCCGACAAGCAACGCGGCGATTCCACAAGCAACCAGTAACTATGTATTAGGCCACCACGGTGGGCTTCTCCGATGCCCTGCCCGTCTTCTTGTCACCGACCCTAGATCTCAAAGCTGTAGTGTTGCCGCCCCGTCGACCGACCAATTATCTTCTCTGCTCCTCTCAGAATTCTCACTGGGGTCAATGGTACTTGGCTGCGCTTGAAACAATATTTGGTCGTGCGCATCTGGAACTACGGCACGACGAACGCCGCAATACCCGGGGTCGAGTTCGCCAATGTCGATGCCAGCGCCACTGGCGTCGTCTGTCCTTGCTCAGAAATCTGCCCATCACTGCTCAACCTTCAAGATCTGATCGGCGACCTATTGATTTTCCTGAGCGGTCCCGGTTTCTTCTATGTTGCCCAGAGTTCCAGCTGTGTCGAGGTCCTGCGGACGAAACGCGCCCACGATTCATTCCATCGTACGAAAGGTGACGAACACCGGCCAGGCTCGGGCTTAGCATGTTAAAAGTGATATTTGCCTACCCAGGTCCACCTTTTACCAACCCCCGAGCGTCGCCGGTGTCTTGGCTCGTAGAAATTGGAAATGGTGAGGCCTTTATTCACCCGTGTAGTCGAAATATCAGGTTCGTCCCGCAAACGACGGAGAGTTGTATGTGACGGTGATTATTCGAAATGCACACGGTCTGGACCCGATGAAAATTTCGGGTGCGTTGGGCCCACTCTACTGCCGATCATGCATCGTTTTCAACAGCGATATTCCCTTGCAAATGCACGCCTCCGCCCTTCTTTTGGGGCTGCCAGTTGATCCAGAATCTACGCATTCGCGTCTGCGTGGACGCCCGATCTGGTGAGCCATTTTTCGACCCCTCGCAGCAACGTCGCCTCATTCTCCAGAATTAGACCTCCTAATTAAACCTTCGACTGGATTGCCGGAGACTCTAGTAGCCCCTCATCACAGGGCGCAGGGTAAGTCCAAAACAAATTTGCCTCACGGATACTTGGCAGCAATTTCGTCGGGGTGAACAAACACCACAAATAAGTCAACCACTGGGGTATATAAGACCTGGGGTGCGGTAGGGAGCTCAGTCACCTACCGTACAGTCCTTGTACAACCGGTCAGTGTCCAACTACTTTGAATACTCCCCTGGGATTGATTTTTCTTCCCTTCCTCATCATACAGATATCGACAAAATAAACCAACAATGAAATTCGCCACCGCTGTTTCTGCCGCCATTGCGTTCGCCGCCGCCGCTGTTTTGGGAGCTGCGATAGACACGGTGGACGCTGGGAATGTGACAGTTACACCGCTCGCAGCCCCCTTCGGGATCAACATCGGGGTGAACGCGGCCTTCGACAACGTCGTCGCGTGGGTCTCCGGCCAGAGCAAGTGCAGCGCCGTCATCCTCGGCCCCGTGCGTGATTTCAGTCCCTATATATGCGCGCGCGACTGACACAGTTCTAGAACGGAGCCAACTTCTGTGGCCGCAACTTCGTGCTCACCAACCCCGCGACTGGGAATGGAATCACTTTCGTCGCAGGCGGATGTGGGGCGTCGCCGTTCTGGATCACGCAGGTGTCCAAGGGCGGGGTGTTTGCCTACTGCACCCCCTTCTCCGAGGCGGATCAGTGTGGTGTGACGACTCTCTGGCACTGCATTTAATTGGACGTGGATGAAGCATGGGTTAGGAGGGGTTGATATACTCATGCTTAAACCACAAAAGTATTCCTGAATCTGCTAAAGTGTTCTGAACGTAGTATGGTCGATGAAATTTACTTTTTGTGTCCACAAAGTGTGTTTGAGTCCGGCTGAACTTAGAAAAATCTATTCTCAATTACCTCCTCAGTATCCTTTTCAACCACAAGTAAGCGCCCAATAAGCGCCCATCTCTGATGGCGGGTATCACCGAGGTGGTGATGCGCGTCCCTTGCCTCTCACCACCACGTAGCCCGTGCGATGGACCACGAACCCGCCTTTCCACCTGAGCTTGAGAGAGCTATCTTCGAAATCACGGCGCTGCTCCATCCCAAGATCATTCCCCAGCTCCTGCGGGTAGCTCAGCGCGTGAAGATCTGGTATGTTCTCTCAGCCCCGGATTCAGGCATTGCCTGATTCGCTATGGATAGGATAGAACCGCTGCTCTACAGAGTTGTCAGTCTTCGACAGCCATACACGCCACAAGTCTGTGCTCTCCTGCAAAAGTCCCCCGAATTTTGCGCTCTTGCCGTTCGACAGCTGATTCTGCTCGAGCCCAACGCCGCTCCCCGCCTGCTGCAGATGTGCAAGGGCGTCACAACACTTCTATTTTTTCCCATCGGCGTGTCTGACGAAGTCAACACAAAAGCCCCGCTCGCGGCTATCCTACCGGAACGCCACATCCGCCGCCTCGGGCTGGAGTTGAGGAGAATCGCCCCCGACCTGTGGCGCACCCAGTTTGCCTCTATCACCCACCTCTCCATCTTCGACATCGATGCAAGGATCGTCATCGCCTTCTGCGCCGACATCCCGCACCTCCCGACCCTCACACACTGCTCTTTTTTCTTGACGCTCATGAATGAGATTCCCAGAGAGGTGTTCCTGCGGGTGCTGGCGAAGTCTCCGCAGCTCCACGTGCTGCTTCTCCTGGGGGTTACATCGAGCTATCCGGCGGAAGGTGTCGACGTGGTCTATGATGTGCGGTTCGTCCTTGCGCTGACCGAGGGCGTATACTGGGATCTCTGGGACGAGTATTGGTTACGGGCCGAGGAGTTCATCGCGAAGAAGAGACGGCGCGAGATTGCAGGTGTGTATAGTGTCCATTCTCGTTCAGTCCTGTGCCTGACACGATTTCTTTGTTTCAGCAACGCAATACTGGGTGAATTAATGGAGCGGTTGTGTGGCCTTCCGCCGATCTCAGGTCTTGGTCGCGTTGACATTCCAGCACGAATTATCTGGCGACGATGCTCGAGTATCTCATTAATTTCTTGCAAAGTTACTGCTTTCTGCACCCTCGTCGTTGACAATCCCTCGAGCGCACATGTAGGTCGTAACAAATCCTCTCGGTCCTCCCCAAATTATGCCTTCCACATTATTGCAATACAAAAACCCTACATTGCCGGCCTTTCCATAACCGCCCTCGCCTTCTCTTTCATGCGCATCTGGAACTCCCGTACGACGAACGCCGCGATAATCTGCGGCCGCGCCGCCACTCCTGCGCGCATCACCAACGTCGGGGGCAAGATGGGGCTTGCGCGGTGCCAGTACGCTATGGGTTCGTCTTCTTCTGCCGGGAACATCTAAATTCGTGCGTTCTCAGTAAAACAGTTGTAATGCTAGAGAGACGGACTGCGTACCGCGAGCCGATGCACAGCGTGCTTGCGCAGCACAAGCGTGTCGCCTTCCACGGTCTTCAGGACGTGGAACGAACTGATGACATTGTAGGTGGTCAGCACGACGGGCAGAAGGATGGGGGTGAGCAGGGGGAGCAATTGAGACGATATCGCACGAGCCGTCGGCGTTTCTCGACTTCTTCAGCCATTTGGAGATTGCCATTTCCTTGTCCTCCGTCCTGGGGAAGGCGATGGTGTCGGGGCGCAGCGCGCGCCGCCGGATGCGTGCCAGAACCTCCGCTGTGTTGGCCTAGTCTCTCGCAGCCAGACGCTTCAACATCAATCTCGTTCCTCGCTTGTTGAAGTCTGTTAGTTACCGCGGGGCTCGGCTGGCGTAGCCGCGCTATTATGTAATCTCACATAAGCAAAAAACAGCAGGTTCAGCTTTACTCTTCTGCACGACATCGGTAAAACCATAGTGAAGCTCTGAATCTTTTCAATAGTGGATCCTATGCCTTCCCCAATTTTTTCGTGAATTTCCAAGACCTTTTACCCCGCCGCCCTCTGGATCATGGCATCAATCCGGCGCCTGCCGCGTTTTCAACATTCGGAGTTTCCACGAGTTTTTGACAATTCTGAGGAGACAAACTGTTGCCTGTGGATATGCTGGGCCTACTGAGAAAATTTCTGGGCCGAAAACGCGTGTTTGAGGCAAGAACACGTCGAAAAGGAGTTTGCTTATGTGAGATTACATAATAACGCGGCTACGCCAACAAACCCCCGCGGTAACAACTAGACTAGTGTTGGCCGTGCGTAATTCGGTGCAGCTGCCGTCGGCGTCGGTGGCGATGGTGTACGCGGGGGTGCCGTTCAGGAGGAGCGTGGCGTTCTTCATACTGTCGCGGCTGAAGAGGAGGTGGGTCGCTGGCGCCGGGGTGACGAGGGTGAGTTGTGAGTCCATTATCAGTGAGGGGGGAGTCCGAAGGGTGAGTGGGGCTGGAGTCTCTGTGTGCTTTTAAGCGTAGCTCAGCACCCTCTTTGTCATGAAGCCCAATATTTCAGGTATCCTGCCGTCTGACCTACGCCTTCTAAGCTGCGGGGCCAGTAATAATATCATTTTCTTCAACTGCGCCTACCGGAAGAACCTCGGAGAACCGTCATGGGGTAGCGAGGTGAGAGAGACTGTGACTCGTTGCAACCCTAGATATGTAAGATAGGCCACGGAACCGCAGTAAGATACCTACCGGTTGACTCACCGTCAAGTCGCCGCTATGTTTTTGGGGTGCGGGGTTCAATTTGAGGGCTGGTCTCAGGGTCCGGCGTTATTTAGTACCGCTGGCCATATTATGTCAGTCCCTGAGTAAATGGGAGCTCTCTGACGCTCGTTGACGCTGTTGCTGGGAATTTCCTTTCCTGGGCTTGGGCGTTTCGGACTATCGGTGCATTGATCCGTGAGAATGGCAAAACCCGAACTGCCCAATGCACACCAACTAATCCCACCGAGACTCTTCGAGTAAGCATTGAGCCACTTGACTCGGTTTTGAGAAATG